GAACTCACCTCATAAAATTATTTCAAAAGAGGTTCTTTTACGCCCAGTACAAACAGGTTATTACTTACTGCTTTGAGTCATACTAATTCACTCGTGGGGCCTTCTCTTCTAACTTGCATATGATACATTATTTAATTCCTGGTGGAATGAACAAATGCAAACAGTTTGGCTTTACGATCTGATATGTGCATGGCAAATGAAAAACCTCAAAATGTGAGTATGAACCAGGGAGTTTTTTAAAAAACCTTAATAGCTGTGGATACAAAACTGATAGTTAACGATTTTCATTTTTAACAGCATCGCTATAAATCAGACCTGAACTTCATGAAAGGAGTTGGTTGGATGGCTCTGAGATCTCCGCAGATAGAAAATGTAAAGAAGGCTGGAGAGCTCATCAGTGAGGTAACTGATAAATCTTTCATGGGATAGCAAGTCTGTAGGAATTGTTTACCATCAAGGCTCCTCGTTACATGACACTTACGAATGTAGCTTATCATTTCCTTTTGATGTGGGAGCCTGTTTATACAAGGTGTAAGTTACCAAGAAGCAGTACAGGAGACACAAGTCCACTGTGTGACACCTGCTGAATATTTTCCATTCCAAATGAAACACAAGAGTATAAGCAAAACATGTAGCAATAAATAAATTCAGGAAACTCCATTATGAAATTCTAAGCAGGTGGTTATGGAAGTCGCATAGAAAGATACAGCACTGACAACCACACTGAAAGGGCATTTGCCTGCTCAGTATCATGCATTAATGGAGAAAAATTATGAGCTGTCAAAAGTGTAGTGTTCAAAAGCTTTTTTGCATGTGAATTTTTAGTGGGAAGTCCTTTGCATAGACAGACACACACAAAAGTTCTGTGCCTGATACAAAGGCATCCCCAGTCCCTAGCTGAAAGAGCAACTGAGACTAAAGCAGAACAGTGGCTTCAGGAAAGTGTCTTTTATGTTTTACCCCAGTTACCACACTCTTGGAATTGTTATATATCATTAAGAGAAACATCTCATGTTTTTTTTTCCTTTGTTTGTTTCTGTTGCCTCCTGCCCTTCCCAGATAAAATACCGGCAGAAGCCAGAAAGTCTGAAGTTCACTGCTGTGGTTGACTCTCCAAGCTTGATTCATGCCAAAAACAGCTACCTCCAGTGCAATGATGTAGGTTACATTCTGATGTATAAGTGATCTTAACTTTTGCTGTACCATAATGCATAAAAGGATTGGTCTTGACATTGCTTCCAGTATCATCTGCATTCAATAACTTTTGTCCCCACAGAGACTGTACAAGGCTGGAGGCTCTGAAGACAGGCACAGGTACACCCTGCCTCCTGATCATCCAGATTTTATCCGAGCCCGCCAGAATGCACTTTACATCAGTGATGTGAGTAAACCTTCTCCTTTGGGGAGCTGACTTGGTAAACTTGTTTGGGAATAAAAACTTTAGTGTATGTAGAAGCCAAGTTCTCTGAGTCTGCCCAGAACTAAAAGAAGCCAGAGGCAGTGAACAGCCAATGTGTTGCTAGGTTTGAGCTTGAGGAATTGGGAAGAGTCTGCTAACTTTCCTTTTGAGCATTCATTTAATTTCCTAGGGCAGTAAGCTATTATTAAATATTTCAAACCTTCATTATAGCTATGTTTAGTTACAAACTAAAAATCTTTTTGGTTTTGTTTGGGTGAGGGAGGAGGGAGAATCCTCTTTCCTAGACTATATATTCTACCTTTGTGAAGCTGCAACACGATGTTGAACTGATCCCTTAGACATAGTTGTCATCAATCTGGATGTAACTGAATCAGTGAGTGGAAGTAGTTTAAAGAGAATTTGTTTCCACATTATCTCATACAGAGGAACTCAGTTTATTCCCAGTGTCCTGTTCCCTGACTAAATAGCTGTTGTCTTTACTTGTAGGGTCAGAATGACTTTGTAAGGAGCTTTGAGATAGGTGAAAGAAACAAGAAGAAATTACATTTCTGAAGCAATAGAGGAAAATGTAAAAAGGCAAATATTGTGTGCAAGGGTTGCACAGAAATGAAAGGTCAGCCCTGTTAGCAGGGTGTACAGTGATTGCTTCTGCCCTGGCTGTCTTGCAGGTTTTCTGGCATCTCAGTTTACTTTCAAATTTATCACCACCTAGCACTACATTCACCAGTGAAACAGAAGATTATCTTAAATTGTGGAGTGGGTTTTGTGCTTCTTTTCGTATGGCCACACACCCCAGAAGGGATGAATCAAAGACTTATAGAAAGCAAACGAATAAAATCAGAAAGGGACAGCCAAAAGTGTCAGCTAAGATACCATGGCTGTGTAGTAGGACCTGCAGACTGGAAGCTATTTTAAGAAAGCTACTAATGGAAGAAGAACCAAATCTAGAGCAATTTCTCTTCAGGATGTAAATGTAATTCACATCCTCAAAGTCACATTAGAACTGGCTGTTATTCCACATGAGTTAATGAAGCCACATGTGGCTGGGGATAGAGACGAGGATCATTTGAAAAGCTTGAAATAACTGGTATTGAAATTAGGATGCCAGGAAACCCAAGACACTGTGAGTGGATGCATCAAAAGAGAGAATAAGGGCAATATCAATGCAATATTGATGTGACTGATGCATCACAGTTTCTAATAGAAATTAAATCGCATCAAAAACAACCACATTCAAGTACAAAAGGAAACCCTGGTGGCACTTTTCAGATGAGGCATTTTATCATTATGGTGAATAGAAAAGAAGTTGAAGTGCTATAGAACTGGATCAAAACCTTGGAGATGGTACTGATGACTCTTGATACAAATAAGCCCAGTAGGATAAAACATTTATTATTGCAGTTATGGGACTGCATTTAAGAAACTGCAGGGGGAAATGACTGTTTTGTTCTTTTCTTTTCAACACAGAAATTGTATAAAACATCTTGGGAACAGACAAGGGCATCTGGCTATGATTTTAGGATTGACGCCATCCCGTTCCAGACAGCAAAGGCTTCGAGAGAGATTGCTAGTGATGTAAGAATTGCTCTGTTTCAAACAATTCCCAACCCTCTTCCAATGCCACTCCATCCTGTGAAAATGGGTGAAGTCTGACATGAGTGAACTTTGTTCTGGTGTGGAAAATTGGTGATCCAATGAAACAAAGTGCTGGTTAGGTGCAAAGATTTCCAGCTAAAGGCTGACAATTATATCCAATACCAGGTCTTATGTCCCAAGAGTTTTTATTGGGAAGAAGACATATTATGATTTAATGAAATAAAATAGGTACTAGGCTATGAATAGTTAATATATGGTCTAGGATAAAGTGGGTTATCTTTGAACTCAGAAGACCACAGCTGGAAAGAAAGCTAAAGATGGAGGAGCTTCATTGGCTGAACTGTGTATTGTGTGTACCCAAGAGTGCAACAGTAGGAGGATCTCTGATTACTTTTGAGAGATGAGCATTTTGGGCCCCCTAAGTCTTTCCACTTCTTTAAAAAAGAGCACAAAGGTAATTCTTCTAAAGTGTCTTGTTAGATTAGGAGATGTAGTTTGATATCAAACAAACCCTTGGTCTTTGTGCACTACAGGAAACATGATTGATAGCTAGGGGAGGATAAGTTATTTCATAACAGAATTTGAAGGTAATTTGAATGTGAAAATGAGATTTTCCTCTGCACTTCCTGCAGTACAAATACAGAGAAGCCTTCCTGAGAGACAGAGGCCAGCAAATTGGATTCCTCAGTGCAAATGATGATCCCAAAATCAGACATGTCCTCAGAGTGGGGAAACTCCAGAGTGACCTCCAGTACAGGAATGATTATGCCCTAAACATGGCACAGTTCCAGAGTCACCTCAACCAGCCAGGATTCCTTCATGCCAAGAGAAGCCAGCAGCTTGCAAGCAGTGTTAACTACAGGCAGCCCTTGCACCAATACACTTGTGACCCTGAGCAGCTAAATGTGAAACATGCAAAGCAAGCCTACAAGCTGCAGAGTGATGTAAGTGTGGCTGAGTGACACGATCCTTCCCTGGGCTGGGGGCTGTCTGTGCAATCTCCTTTTCAACAAAATCACCTGGAAAGAACCACAGTCTGCTTGCTAAAAATGAATAATTTGTTTATTATTGACTCTGCTGCTCCTTTATATGCTCTCTCTTGAATACCCAGGGCATGCGATTTGGTTAGAGCTCAGCAAAATAATACATCCTGGTGCATGTTTCATTCTCTCAGGTAGAATACAAGTCTGACTTGAACTGGCTCAGAGGCATTGGCTGGACTCCCCCAGGTTCTCACAAAGTTGAAATGGCAAGAAGAGCTGCTGAGCTGGCATACCTTCGGGAAATGGGATTGCTGCGTGCTGCTGCTCAGTGCAGACCTGGAGCTGTAAGTAGAGTAAACCATTCTTCTCACAAATCCCAACAGCTCTGCTCCTGACCTGCACACATCCTGTCTAATACTTCTGAATGCTCCCTGGAGTCGACAGTTCTCCCTATTATCTGAACAGGATATGTGCACTTCCCTCATGAAGCTTTGTGCCTTAGTGTACATCTTAATTTGAAGGAACCGTTGAAGGGAATTCAGCAGTGTCAGCAGTGGCAGGTCAGGATGTGTTTTCCCCAACTTGTGGATGATGTCAAATCTCCAAGTGTCCTAGTACCTCTGAGGAAAGCAGAAGCAGAGGTAGAAGGGACTCCCCATGCAATTCCCATTCTCTTTTCCCGATTTCATCAGGAACCACATGTTGCCATGTAATCTCCACTGGCAGCTGTATTGACAGGCTGAGTGTGGCTCCTAACAGCATAAAATGTGCTGTGGGAGGCTTTGTGCAAAGGGGCAATGCTCCACCCTCCTCTGCCTCTGTCCAGCTCAAGGTTAAAGATATTACAAGCAGGGATTTTCCAGGCTTTCCTTCTGCCTGCCTCCACAGGGATGACTCCCAGTCTACAGTGTGCCAGTACAAGAGAGCAGAAGTCCATACAGGAATCTTGTAGCCCTTAGAGTTAGGAAGCATTCAGCTACAATAAAAGAGAAGTACTGCACTTCAGATGCTTCTATCATTTAATTTTTAACTTTGGTAAGAAATCAAACAATAATCCAGACCAAAAGAAACAGTACATATCCATGATTTACATTCCCATCTGGAAAGCTACTGGGAAATAAATGAAAACTATGGTTGAGTAACAGAGGCAGTAACAGGTTGCAGTAACAGAGGCAATATCTTCTTAAGTCAAAGGAATGATAATGAACTGATGACCCCAGGGAAACCTTCAGGTGTGCAATCCATGTGGAACTCAGGTGTTTGATGGTTTGCTTTTTATTTGGGGTTCAAAATAGAAACTAGGACTTGAGCACCTTTAGTTCTTTGGTATGTGAGGTATCTAACTGACATGAACAGGTCCAGTTTTTGCACTTCTCCACAGCAGAAATTTGCTCAGTGCAGAACAGTGATATAGATTTTCTTCTTTTTTTTTGCCAGTTGTGTAATTTTGAATATGAAAATATTGTTATAGAATAATAGTTAAAACCCTCCCCTATCTACTGACTGGTTCCACAATTTTTTTGCGTGTGATTTTACAGGACCAGTTGGAGACAGAAGGATCTCAGCAAGTCGGAGTCAACCCTGATGCTTCAGAAATTCTTCAATTCAAGAGAAGGCAAATGCAGCTCTATCAGAAGTAAACATAACATAACATAACATAACATAACATAACATAACATAACATAACTAGATTTTCATCTTGTCCTGCAAATCCTGTAGCTTTTCCAGTTTTCTGGGAAACACAATAGATGGCATTTAAGAATTTTTGTTTTAAAAAGCAACAGCAATTTATAACCCATCATTTTATTTTTGTGTGGATACTTTGTGATTTACCACTGAATGTATTAGAGATTCTGCTATTTATTTAAAGCTGTAAACGAAATTAGTACTAGATGACTGGCAGGCTCAGCTTTGTACTGTGGATGGTAGAATATGAAATAATTTGTAATGAATAAATCAGGTGACTCTTATCCCATGTTTGTAATTTTTTGAGATTTTTATGTTTCTGGAATATTGGCACCATTGACCTAAGAGAGTACAAGCGTGGTTTAAGAGATGAACAAGTCACATCAGGGAATCTGTTCTAGGCTATCAGGATGTATTCAGGTCACAATTAGTTCTTCGGCTTTTTTCAAACCTTCCAAGTAAATATCAGAATTACTCTTTGCAGTAGGGGTAGCTATTGATAGATTAGGTAGCTGCTTAGAGAAGGTTGTAAACCAAGGAATTCAAGTGAGAGTGAACACACTACTATTTTAAGAAATAGACTCTTCACAAACAAGTCTATTCTTTGTATCCTGATTTTAATACCAATCCCTTGTTTTTCAAATCTCTCTGCAGAATCATTGGGCAAAAGTTACACAATTTGACAGGTACATCTTATGAGAACCCCGAATTATCCAATGGCTTTAGACAGATTTTTTTAATAGCGTTTGGTGCTATTAGATCTCACTGATTAAGCACATATAAACCATTGTAGATCTGGAGCATAACATGTAATTATTCTCTAGTCAGGAATAAAGTGGATAATTCTAGTACTGAAAGTTTGTTTTTTTCAATCTGAAATGCATCACTAATGAAATTTTTAGTTATTTAAGCACAAAAGTGCTTTTAAAAATAATTGTCCTGCCTGATCGTCCCTCCTCATGAAATTCCAACAGCTGTAATCTTGCAAACTCAGCCATGTAGTGATTCTTATGTGTGGGAAAAATGGTACTGGCTTGAGGAGCACACACCAATAGATTTGAGGTGTCAGGGTCCAATGAGCACAGAAAAAACACAACCTTAGACAGGAGCAGGAGGGAAAGAGGAAATGTCTGGCAGCCGCTGAGCTGAAAAGCAGATCTAGAAACATGATTCAGGGCCTTTGATTTGTTTGGGGAAGAAATGGAGTAGCTTTATTTTGTTATCTGTTTGGCTACAAAACGTGGGCTTATTTCAAAGCCTATGACAGAAAAACTGTCACTGACATTCTAGCTAATGCTCTTAAGGCTATTTTCAAGATAGTGATGAAGGATGCCCCATGTAAGCCATGAGAAAATGTCAGTAATATTTTTGGTCAAAGATGAGGCATTTAGGGAATTATTAAAAATAGTAAAACTCTCAATCTTACCATTTGTCATTCCAAAGCTCTCTCCTAATGACGTGACCTTGATGAAGACTGAATTGCATTTTTAATCCAACTGGTGAATTTTGTCACCTGGGTGTAAACTCCTGGCTTGTTTTTTAACCCACATCCTTCTCCCCAGCTCACAAGGCCATATACGTAGTAGGAGCCATTTTTTACACAAGTCAGTGGGCCTCCAGAGTCTCCCTGAGGAAGGAAAGCACACATGTTCAAAGCAAATAGTAACCAAAGCAGAATAGTAACCAAAATCAGAATGCTTCTCTCTCATCACAAGACTTGAAGCTGTAATGATACTTTTTTTCCTAACAGATGTACCATCAGATTCTGCTTAGCCCCTTAGTGGACTTGCAATTCTGTGACCAGGTCAAATGATACCAGACTTTTTGGATTGTAAGTTTTCTTTTTTTTCCAGTCTCTGACATAAATCTGACAAGGTCACATGAAATTTCTCAGGCGTGAAAGTACCAGGAATTCAGAGCCTGAACTCACAAAGATAAAGATGTGATCCCTGGCATAAATGAAAACTTTAGCTGTCTCACACTCCTCAAAACAGCTTTATTCTGAGTTACTTGGTCTCCTTTCTTTTTTTTTTTATTTCTTATTTTTTTTATTTCTGATTTCTATTGCAAAATATGCTTTACACTGGTAATTTGCACCTTAGGAAGTGTTGTTCAAACTGTTTCCTACCTTTCAATGGTATAAGTATGAACTTGTTTCACATTTGTGTTAGCTGTAATGAAAAGAAACATCAATACTGACTCCCTGCAAGTCTCAGCTCTGATAGTGAAAATCAGATTAGAATTGGCACTCAAGGTAGAGGCCATAACAAAACTGAGGGAAAAAAGAGCAATTTTTCAGGTTATTATGACAAACTGCCTCAGAAGCCAAGCTTTCCAGGCTGGTCTCTTGATTCCACAGATCTGCCTGGTGGTGACAGTTTGGCAATATTATCTCTAAGGATGTACAACTCAAAGTGTGCTGCAGAAAGGCTGCTGAAATACACTGATGTGAGAACAGGTACATATGCAGCACATTGCCAAGGCTATGCACAGCCTGACTCTTTATACAAAAAATTAGTGTTCAAATACAGAAAAAGCAACAGACCGAACAAGAGTCGATTCCGGGTTTCCGAAGTTTTCCTGCACAAAACATGCTGTCATCCAGCTTGTTATCATGTAGTCCAGGTTCATTGCATTTCCTCTGCGAAATCAGCTTGACATTGGCATCTAACAACTGATAGGATATGTCACCTATGGGATGTGCACCAAAAAAATGGAGTCACTTTCTTCCCATTCCTGTTACGTATTGTCTTTTATTCATAATATGAGCTTGCTTGACAAACGTGGGATGGGGGAAGAGCAGGGAGGATGCACGTGCTAGCCTGGGAGGAAAGAACTATCTGGCTGAAATGATAGGTTTCCAATGAGCTGTAGCCTGCAGTTTCACTCAGGACAGAATAAAAGTGAAGTCAGGTATTCAGAATTTGGTTCCAATCAGCTCTCTCTGTGTAATCCTGCTTTTCCAAGGTGCTGGTTGTCTGCAGCTCCCAGAGGTCCCCATGGGACTTCGAGCCGCTCAGCACTTCTCAGACTGGTACGATTAGATGCTTTAACATGCAAGCTAATGAAACAGATGAAAACTGAAAATCATACAATATTTAAAGGCAATGATTAATTACAGTGAATCTAAAGACATAACTTGACATCTAAAGGCAATAGCCTTAGTTTCAAAGTACTACATCTGTAGATAATTAAAGGTGGTTTATAAGTTTGGTTCTGCTAGAGTTTCAGGAAATATTCCATTTCTGCAGTGATTTCCTGAAATGCTGATAATGGCTCTGCTCAAAGAAGGAGCCATCTAGTTTGAACATGTACAGAATACTTGATATTCTTTGTTGGGGGAAAAAAGCCCATAATATCCTCCTTACCCTCTTTAAGGGAGACTTTTTATTTGGAACTTTTAAAAAATGCCCATTAAATGCTAGTGGTGCATTCTGATAAAATGAACACACTTGTCACTTGTGGACTTCCATGGGAGTTATATCAGAAGAAAGAATTCAGTCCCATGTATTGGATCAGGCTGTATCAGTCACAAAGCACTAGGACACCTACTGCAGCCTCAGTGACAGGTTTTCCTTCTGCTGCTTTACAGCAACACATCAACCAGAACATGAGAAAATGCATTTTTCAGAAAATTGCCATTATCTCTTTCTAAGCATAATAATTTTTCCCCTTAGGATTTACCATGGGCAAGGAAGGTTTTTGGATGGAGCTGGTTGAACTTGAAAAGCTTGGGATGTTTTTTTTTTATTTTTCGGTATATCTGAAGGTCCAGATGCTGCTTCTGAAAAGCTTTTTCTGACCCAATGGGTTGGAAAACTGTGTGAAAATTCCTGTATTTCTTGGTCCTGTCTTGAAACACACAAGCTATACAATAGCCTCTCTTGATACTCCCTTGCTTCTGCAGCTGGCTTCAGATGAAACCATGACATGGAGAGTCAGATGGAAGGAAAAAAATGCATCAGGCATCTTATCAGAACTCTGACAAGTTTGGTTGATTTAGCAGTTGGAGATTTCTGCTAATGAGTAATTTGCATGACATGTTTTAGCTGACCTTATTTTTGAATTTTATGTCTTGGTTTCACGAGTGCCTAGGTCCTCATTTGGGTCTGGCAATTGCTGCTGAAAGTACCAGCCCACCTTGCCACTGGAGTACCCACCAAAATCCAGTTGGCCCATAAGTACCTTTCTCTGTCCTGCCCCATCCAGAAATGAAGCAGGAAGTCCCAGCAGGAAGGAAGAAGTCAGGGAGACATGCTGTTTTCACATATTTTGTTTCTACTGCACAGTTACCATCCACAGGCTGCAGTTTAAGTAGTGCTGGAGAGGAGATAAACAATAACAAAATGTATTTGGAGCTAATTTTGATCCCTAACTATTGTTAGCAGCTGTTACCATGCCAAGCTGCATAAACCCAGCATTCCATTTGCCTCCCTGTGCTGGACCTGTTCCCATTGTTTGGCTTCTCCTACGCAGTGACTGCTACCTGCCCATCACAATTTACATCCCAAGATTCTAATGGGTCTAGATCACAATTTGGCCCTATTATTTCCAGAGTATAGTCTCAATGAGAATTTTACATTGACTTTAGTGGGAGAGAGACACTTCAAACAACAAAGGTTGGAGGTAAGCCACATGAGTATCAAATAAAGGATTTACCAATATCATTGTATAGGACACCCCTGTCTTTGTATTCGCCATGTAAAATTATTCCCACTGCATCAAATATTTGCTCATGATCTTCTTTCATCTCGAGGTTTTGCTTTCCAAGGAATACTTGGATCTTTTTTACTGGTTTTCTGGGAAAAAAAAAAAAGTCAATTATATACAGACATTTTTTTATCAGTGGTGGTGCAAATCTTCCTCTTGTAGAGCTTGGCCAGAAGATTTCCTAAAACCATTATAGGAAGGCTTGGATAGGAAAGCAGTGGTGTTAGAAAATACGTGTGCTCTTAACTTGTTGCAACTGTGAAATAAAGCTGCATGTACATGGTTTTCTTTGCATTTTAGGGCAGAGCAGCAGTATGCACACATTCTGTTACTGCAGCAGTGATGACGAGTGGCAGCTCATGTAGCCATGGGAGTAGAGTTGCTTGCCATTGTCTGAGCATATTTAAAATCATCCATGTTGAAATGATTTTCAGTGTGTAATTTATCTATTTCCTAGGGTGGTGGTTTCCAACTAATTCAATACAAATGTTGGAGGAAATGTAATATTCTAAGCTAGTTGGCACAGAAAAAAATTAAAGCTAAGTGCGTATTTTTACTGTTTTGAAGAACTTTTAATTCTGGTGTAATCTGTGATGTTGTTTATGGAATCCCAATATCCCCTGAGTTTTTAATAGAGTTCTTCTTTTACACATCACAAAATCTTGCTACTTTCCTCCTTTTTTCCTCCACACAACTTATTCAGCTCATTTTATTTGAGTGGGGCCTAAGTTTGCTATTTCAGCAAGGACCACTTTCAAGTATATAAACATTTTAATGTATGCAGTCATTTTTTTTCTGTCTATGTATATGTTTTCCTTTCAAGTGGATTCCAAGCAATCATTTTGATTGCAAATAATTTTGGATACCAAGCTGCCTTTACTAACCACCCTGATTTTTATACATTTATCTACTCTAATGATAAGACATGCACCTACTCAACGCAATGTGCAGCAGTAAGAACCCAGCATGATTTAATTAGCACTCCACCACAGATATAGTTATGCCCATCTTGAGCCTGAATCTTCAGAAATGCCATCCAGGGATGTTTCCCAGGTGTAGCCTTGGATCCACCATAGATCTTCTTGAGTGTCCTACGAACTTCTGGTTGTCCACATGTTTGGAATGTTTCAGAGGGGTCTGTAGGAGGTTCTGTTGGGATCTCTGCATTGGAAGAGACAGCAGATGTATAAAGCAGAGTTAATATCAGACTGGAAGAGTTAAGCAACAGGGAGTAACCTGCTGCTCTAGACCACCTACGTGCTGCCAAATCACTTGCTTCTAATTCTTTACCTGAGCAGGGTGAAACATCACAATATTCCCAATCCACTTCCTTATTTTTCCTGATGTAGCACCAGGGTTTTTCATCCTCGTCAGGATTCCTGAAGGGAACAATTGAGAGAATCAGCCAGCAGGAATGGGGAAATCTCCATGAAACTTGTGAAGGAGCAGAGGATTCTTAGGGAGAACCCTCATGCTCCCATCTGGGAGACAAACAAAGATAATATTTTCTAAGATTTGACAAAAAATATGCCTGAGGAAGGCTTAAAATACTGCCATATTACTATTCCCACGCCTATTTTTGCCATAAGAAAAATGTGGGACTGGTTCAAAACAAAGAAGGCAGCTTCTGGAAGCCTCACATCAGCATGGTTAGAGAAGGCATATCTAACATTCTGGTGTTTTATGGGCAGTCAGTGTCTAGAAAGATGAGAGATCTTAACACCATCAGTTTCTCAAATTCGTGAGCAGTTTGTCCTCAGGGATGTCTTTGATACTGGCCTCTACAGCTGCTTTTTCAAAATATTACCTGCAGAAGTTGTGTTCACCAATGCCATGCGAGTCAGCATCCTCCATAAAGGCATTGAAAGGTTGGTCCAAGAGATGGTGGGAATTCCAGTGCAGGCAGGTCATGCCATTTTCTGCTTGGTTCACTCTTCCTCTATATGTGGAGGAGTCCTCTTCATAGCAATCATATGGTCCTGTAGAAAGACAGTGCTCGTAGGAAAATTACTTTTGTGTTGTTCCTCGCTCAAAGTGCTTCCTCTTCCTTCCTTACCTTGCCCTACATTCGTTTTATGGAGGATCAGAAAAGCCTACTAGGCCAAGTAATTATGTTCCTTATTGTACACAGGCCAGAAATTAGAATAATGTCCCAACATCTGTCCACCTTCTAGCTTGATTGACTTCAAATGTCACCTATCAAAAGCACTCCCCTCAGCCTGGGGAGTCACAGGCAACTGGGCAGGCATCTTCACTACATCAGATTTTAAATGTTTGAGGAAAACCTGACATTTCTTCCCTTTGTGACCTCTGGGAAACGTATGCTCACTTATTATATACCAGTGGAACATTGCCAAAGCACACTTAGAAAACACCAAGATGGGAACTGTTTCAAGCCCTTTTTTCAGCAGTGGCTGCAGAAGTCAGGCTCTTCCTCTGACCCTCTCTCCAAGGCCCCTGGAGCAGTGACAGGAACACCACAGGATGCTACAGGAATAGCATCAGATGGTCTGGCTGCAGGGGGGGGGGCAGCCCCTGGCTCTCTGGAGGTTCACCCCTCCCCCTGAGGGGCTGTGACCTACCGATCTCGCAGAATCTCCCTCTGAAAGGTTTGGGGCACTCGCAGGTGAATTTTGATCTGTATCTGTTCCGTATGCAGGTGCCTCCATTTTTGCAAGGGTTTGGACTGCACTGTTTGGATGCTGTCAATGTGAAAACACAGAACAGCCTTGTCAATGTGCTGAGCACTACTCAGCCACTAGTATGCCCAATGGAAACTGGGGAGAGCTCCCACTCAGCCTGCTGGCTTTGAGTTCTCATGAAATCTTGTAAAATGCATATCTCTAGGGGTTTTACCAGTGATTGAACCACCACCCTGCAAATCAAGCATAACTCATCACTGGCCAGACCCATGGATGGGAGCTGCAGCATGACTAGGGCAGGATCACCCCTGCAGTGGGTGATTTCCCACTGCAGACTGGCCATAGTGCTGTCCCCACCACAATTTGTGCCCAGCTGAATGCTCACCACGCTGGCAGGAGGGTGTCTTGTAGGGAGGCTTGCAGCTGCACTTAGAGTAGGGTGGGGTTAATGTAATCAGACAGTCTCCAAAGTGGCAGTTCTTCTCCAGACACATGTCCTCCACTGTGGGAAACACACATAAAGTACATCATCAACATTTGTGTGTACCCAAGAACTGTGCCCTTGCAGGGATCGAGGGAACATGCTTTCCCTTGACGCTCCAAGGATGCTTCCATTTGGCAGGTGTGGACTTGAGATCTCATTTCTTGTTCACAGTATCTATGGCAAAAAATCTGTGGTACTAATGAGCAGCTCCCCACTGCCTATCTTGCAGGGCATAGAGGAGCACTCTGCATTCCTGCAGTTTATTTTACTGGATGCTCTTTAGACAGACTGGCCCGGATTAAGTCCTAAGAACTATGGACATAACTGCTGTGGGCTGTCAGAACACTCAGCTCAGCAAACAGTGGGTTTATAAAGTTGCAACAGTAACATTAACTGCCGAAATAAGGAGTATAGGTTAGGAAAAGAGCCATTACCTTTTTCACATGTAGTCCCACCGTATGGCTCGGGGCAGCGACAGCTGAAGCCACTTCCTTTGGCTTCACATGTACCACCATTCTTGCAGGGGTTGGAGAAGCACGGGTCTGCAGAGGTAAGGATGGAGATCTTTCAGCCTCTCAACCTTCATCACCTGCTTTTTCTTCTTGCATTTTGTGCTTGCAGGAGTCTGCCTTCCTAGGCACAGCATCCTGTGTAACAAGTGCTGTGCTTATGCATCAATCAGCACCAGGAGCAGTATGAGTTGCTGCAGAGTTTATTCCAAGCTGCAGTGGCTCAGCTTTGGGTCTGGAGATCCTGTACTCCCCTTGCCCAATTACAGAGTAGTAATGGGGCAAGTCCCTTCCTTTCAGAGGTAGTTTTGCCTCTGTGGCTTTGCCTCTGGTTGTCTGCCTGCCTTCATGCACTGAGTCTGGAGTGATGTGGATTTGGCATTGTCCTGTTTGGAACACAGCATTAAACCTCTCCTGGAAAAGCCATCCACTATCTATAGACTCTACCATACCCCTGCGTGGCTGCTGCCTCAAGGGAATTAGCACTTGCTGAAAGTCACTCCTGTGCTGCTCCTTACACTGTGCTCAACATCTTCCCTGCAGTCCAGGCTGCCAGGAACAATTGGTATTGAAGACAGCCCAGAGTCAGCTCTGCTTGCTTTGTACCAGGGCATAACTCGGGGAATGTTACAGGCAACTTCCCTGCCTCTCCTTTTGAGTCCCCTGAGCAATCTCAAGGATTCTTTCCCGTTCTCCTGAAGTTTAGCAAAACAAAAAAAAAAGAAAAGGAAATAAAACCCCTGTAACTGCTAAAAGAAAGGAAAAAAAAAAAAAAAAAAGGAAACCTGCTCTACATTTGGTGCCTAGAATAAATACAGAACATATATCCTGTGAAAACAGCAATTACATCTTACAGTGTCTATAGACAAATAAGCCTGTGCTTTTTTGTAGTAGCAATCAGAAATGTTCTGCATGATCAGAATCCATCCTGTGAAACCTGGAGATAAAACACAGGATTCTTACAAGAGAAATACAAAGAAGCAAACGATCTTCCTAACTCATCCCTTTGATGCAGGCATTTCGAGAGCAGACTGGCAGCCAGACCTGCCATGCTCATGCTTCAACCACAGGGCTGGGATTTTACCCCTTCCTTGCCTTCCTGCCCACCCCTGAGACGTACCTTCCAAGGAAAGGGAGTCATCTAAAGATGTCTCAAGCCAGCTAATTCCCTCCCAGAGATGCTGCAGGGGGTTGGTGTCCTGCTTCAGTTCTGCATCGTAGTAGTAGTTATTGTCATCAGCCTCATCTGCAGGGAGGGGTGAGAAGAGAATGATGGAACAGAAGAATTAAAACTGGAAGGAGACAAGTTATGAAATAGGTTATTCCTGAGATGAACATTTCTTTTCCTTTCCAGCTCATTTAGAATGTCAGTGGGTTAAGTGACCATCTTGAGGCCCAAAGATGGCCCTCAAGGATGCTCCTGAAGGGCACTGGGGCTGTGGCTGCCCAGCTGACTGCTGTGGTGACAGCCAGGATGCCCCAGAGGGGCTGCAGGCCAGGGTTCTCCAGGCATATGGAGTCCCCATGTGGTACTGCAGCCAGGGCAGATGCTGAGGCTGGTACCTGTACAAAAAGAGATTCAGGTTCCTATAAGAAGAAGGGATTTTCATTGTCCAGCTGCTTTGCTGATCATGAGCACCACTGGTGCAGAATCAGGCAGGGCCCTCCCCAGCACAGGGGCCCCGTGGTGTGCAGGGACACCGAGTCCATCTCCAGAGCAGTGAGGGGGAGCAGAGAGCCCCAGGCACCTGCACGGCTTTGTGACTTCTCACCCACAAAACAGCCTTCGAGGAGTGAGGGCCCAGCACTGCAGACACGTTCTGAGGAGCCCACCCCTGCCTCTGCCAGCCCATGGCCTGCAGGAGCCAGTGTCCACCCCTGGCTTGGCCAGTGTCCCCATGGAGCC